ATAATTTATTATAAAATACAAACGCCTAAAACAAAAATTTGTTTCCAAACATTTTGTGTTGTGTTTATATTATTGTATTACATAATAACGTATACATATTATATATATATATATATATATATATATATATTAATCTAAAACTAATGAAAAATTGCCCTTTTGTATAAAATAACAATTAATTTTATTTATTAAAAATATATTATTTTTTAAATATAAATAGTTTTATATTATTTAATCATTTAATTTAATAATTTTAGTTAAACTATAATTTATCATCAAAAACACCTTTCCCTTGATCTCCATTTTATTTAATAATATTTTTTTGATCTAAATATCAGTACAAATAAAATCTTTACAATAACTACTAAGTATTAAGTTATTAAAGTTTATTTTTATTTTTAACTATTAATTGTCAATTTATTGTATTGAGTTATTTTAAATATACTGTAATAAATTTAATTGCATTTGTATTAAATAGTTTATGTTTCACAAACGTCACAAAGTGTTAAAAAATTATTGTTATTGACTATAATTATACAAATTTATCATACATTGAATACTAACTTATAAGTATTTACTTTAGATAATTAGATAAATTTACTTTTAAAAAAATATTTATTTTTTTGAAAAGTGAAATGAAAATTGATGGATACCTTCAGGTTATCCCTCAGGTGTCTTACTATATGACAGACACAGACATGTATTTTTAAAAATTKTGTTATTTTTTGTAAAATATAATTTTTTTTGTTATAGTCTATAGTCCTATACTGTTTGTATAGATAAACTGTATATTATTTTATTAACAAATCATAAAATAAAAATATTTATATATAATACAGTATTGCTGGAAATTTTTTAGGCAATAAAAAATWACTAAAGATTAAAATTTATTTTATAATTGTATAGATATTATGACAGATTTTTTTGGGATAAAACTTGATTTCCCAACAATTACAGTATTGAGTATATTATACTGTAGTATGCATTTAACATTATATATATATATATAAATAATATATATAATATATATATTAATTATTTATATAATGATGGATTGTCACCCATGTTGGCCATGGACTACATTATTGGAGACATAATATAAATACATTTTGAAAAATTTAATGAAATATTTTTCTTTATAAAAGTCTCTCTCTCTCTCTCTCTTTCTTTCTTTCATTGACTAACTTACTTAACAGAGACAAAGACTGTAATATTATTAAATTATATCAAAATATTTGAAATAATAATAATATGATTTAAAAAAGATTATTAATAAATATCACAATTCATTAACACACACACAAGTATTTCGTAATTGTTTGTATTGTTATGTCAGTTAACCACAAAATATATACAAAAAATATTAACAAATACTATACTTTAATTAAATACATTTTTATAAATCAAAGAACTATAAATTATTTATATATATATAATACAATACTGTGTGTGAATTTAGCAAAAATAAAATTGATTTTAAAAGCAATGTCATATACAATATATCTATATATTATTTTTTATTAGAAACTATTTTATCTTAAATCTTATCTATTAATTGAATTCATGTATAAAAGAGTTTAATTTGTCTGATAGTTAGTTAAAAAAAAAGTTTTGTAACATTTTTGAAGGCATTTATGCAATAAAAAACGTGATACAAATATAATTATTGCCCTGAAATTTTGTTTAAAGTTAAAAAACCRCAAAACAATTTATGTTATAATTATTTTATCTATAGTTAAAAATGCTTTTGCAATTAAAAGTTTATAATAATTTAAGTTCAATATTTTGTATCAATAAAATGCCACGTTTTTATATWTGTAAAAGTTTTATTATTATTTTATAATAAATTAAATTTTTATGGCTATTTAAATAAATTAATCAATAATCATTATATTGATCTATTTTTAATAATCTAATCAAACATAAAAAAATTTGTTTGTTTTTATAAAAAAATAAAACATAACTCATATTTTAACAAATAATGAGTTTAAATAAGATTTTGTACGATAATTATTAACCAAATTTAGTTAAAAACTTTCCGTTTGTAAATTTATTAGTAATTTATAAAATAATATTTATAACAATTACGACTAAACTTTTATTATATTTACCCAATTTTCTTTGACATGAATTTTAATTTTTTTTCATTCAAATATAGACTTTTTCTATTAAAATATTTTGTTTTTATTTTTATATCATAAATTATTTTTATAAAAATGATTTCTTTATATTATAATTTAATTGTTTATTTTAAAAATTAGTTTAATAACACTAATTACAATTAAATTTTTTAATAAATAAATTTATACAAATATAATTATTTTTTAATATTATAATTTATACTATCATTAGTTATYATTATAACTATATGTATTATTTTTTCAAAGTAATTGTTGATTATAAAAAWTTATTGAATTTAAAAACATAGTTTATAATTAAAATATTTGACTTAATATTTATGGCAATTATTTTTTATGATATTAAAATGTCCAATAAAATTCATATGATATTGATTATTATTGATTCATTTTAAATTATTTCTAKTGATATGTAATGATACAATTTTTTATTAGTATTTAATTTGTAAATTTATTTTATTTATTACAATATATTTTTTATGACCCAATAATCATATGCTAATTTATTCAGTTATTATTGTTAAATATATTAATACATTATAAGATAACTTTCTTAAACAAAATAGAGTTATTATTTTAATGAAACAATTATTTTGATTATAGAAATTATATTAAATTAAAATATATTTATTCAATATCGTTGCCATAAATTTAAAAGCAATTGTAATATTTTTTTTATTAATTTTACTTTCAAAATTTTATGTGTGAATTTTTAATTAACTAAATAATATCCTAAACATATTAATAGAATTATTTGAATTATGATTAAATTATTTATTTAAATTGAATAATAAAATATGATATTAATATTGTTCTATATACTGTATTATATGTAACAATAAATGCTATTTTATTGCTTAATAATAATTTAATAATAAAATTTGTTTAATATAATTAATTGAAAATCAGGTTTACAATAATTTTGTTTTTTTACATTATTTTTACATCAAATAAAATGCATTATTTGAATGCATTATTTTTTAATAATACAAATCATTTTTGGCAACAAATAATAATTATAGTCATATTATTAGAAAGTATTACATAAAATAAATAGCAGTTTTATCGCTAAATAAAGTGAAAAATATATAATTTATATATTTTAAAAATAATTTTCATGTTTTTTCCTCTCTAATAATGATATGTATTGAAAATTGATTGCTCACGATTTTAATACATTTATGGCATTTATGTTTTGTTATTTTATTATATAAATAACAATTTAACAGCATATCTAAGTCTATGATTTACAATTAATTATAATRTGCATTTATTGTAAATCACAAATTTTAGGTAGCAATTTAAATAATAAATTATATTTATTAGTAGAATATATATATATTATAATTAAATATTATTAAAGTACAACAATATAATTATTTAAACTACAACTTATTATTATTATAATATGTCAACACATAATAAGTTATAATTTTTTTCAGATAATAAGATAAAAAATTAATTAAATTAAATTTGCATATTACAAGCGTTAATAATACCAATACTAATAATCATAAATTGTAACATAAATAATTTGTTATACAAACTAAATTGTAAAATAATTCAAATTTTTGTTTTCAATTTATTTTATCAATGATAACTGTGTCATCCAATGGCCCATATCTAAAGGTGACACTTTCACTACACATTAGGTTAGCCCCAAATCAATGTATATACATATWTGTCTGAGATTTAATTTTTTGAAAAGTTATGTCAAAATACTGAGCATATTATAGTACAGTATATACTATATAGGTATATGAAAAACTTATGGTAAAAAACTAGTTAAATATTTTACAAAAAACCATTAATGGGACACACAGTAACTAAATGGTAATTAAATATATGTTAATACAGTGTATTAAAACAGTCTAATCAACAAAAATAATCRTATATTAGCTCAATATTGCTAAATGAAATGTTTGCAACAACAACAACAAAACCGGTTGACTACMAAATATTTTTTTCAAAACAAATATAGATTTATTTATATGAAAAACTTTTAACTAAACTATAAATGCATTTTTTATGTAAAAACAAAATCAGACTTTTAGGAAAAGTTTTAAGAAAAAGTTATACCATTACTAACCTAAGGGACAATAATAATAATAAATATGGTATTTATTATCTCTTATTCAATATTTGTTGTGTGTTTTTTAAGTTATCGTTAATAAACATAAATTAGATTTAAAAAGCAAAACAATTATTATCCATATGTATTTATATACAGTTTATAAATATATTGATATACAGTATCTAAAGTTATTGGTATTTAAAAAAACAGTTCCGATAACTTAATATATGTTTTTATAGCTAATAGTATGTCTTATACTATCAATAAATTTATGAGTCATTTATGCTTAATATGAATTTATTTTTTGTGATTTTTTATAACTATAATGATATATTAATACTGTATATTATATACATATAGTTTATGTATACTCTAGGTTTGACCCGATTATCRAAATAATTTTTTGTTTAGTTTGATTAGTATTAATTGATACAAAATAGTTTTATTTATTATATTTTAAGCTTTTAAAAGTTTTAATTAGTATTTATTATTATTATTGTTTGTTCACTTTTATTGTATTTATTTATAAAATTAAACTTTTTTTGTTTAGTTAATCAGTATTTACGAACAATTGTATTGAATTATTAAGTTATTTAACACAATTATATACTAAATACACGCTAAATACTGATTATTATAAATTGAATTGATTTCACTTATAAGACAAATAAATAGAAAACAATTTTTTTAAATAAAACATTTAATCGATGATTAAATTTCTATTTCTATTGATTATGTAATACATTATGTATTAATTTATTTACCCGGAAAAATTAGAAATAGGAACAATGACATTTATTAGTAAACGATTAATAGTTTGTAATTAACTAATATTTATTAAATCAATTTTTAAAAATAATTTTTTTAATTAATAATTTTTTATTATATAATAAAATATCAATARTAATGTAAAAATTATACTATCTTTTTATAAACAATAGTTGATTATTTAAAAATACTTTTTTTATACTTTTACAAAATTAATTTTACAATTTTAATAAATAAAAATCTAAACTTTGATCCATTTTCTAACTAATAAATCTTGAACTATAAACAATAGATGTTTATTTCATAAATTTTTATAAAAAAATCTTTGATTTTTATCTATATATTTATATTAAGCTGTTTTTTGTGTATTATATCGATATTTTTTATCTTAAAACACAATGAGTACATAAATACTGGGTCTTACTTATTGATCGTATTTAGTTTCGCATAATTGACTTTATATTTATTGTGTTTATCTTAAAAAAAAATTGTTTGATTTATTTTTTTTTATAAATTTTTCCAAACAAATGTGTAAATATGATATACAGTTTAAGTAAATTTATTTTACATGTAATTTAAAGAAATTTTTTCCCTAGTATTTTCTGGATATAATGTTTTATTTAATGACATTTATTTTAATTCATAAAACAAGTTTAAAATTTCAAATTTGATAAAATATAGTTAAAAAATTAAAAAAAAATTGAAATAAAAATTTAATTTATAATATTTTTAATTATATTCATATATTCAATATATATATATATATATGAATATTTATTTTTAAATAACCTAATAATATATTTCCTTATTAGACATATGGCTAATACTAGCGGCTGATGACTATCTAAAGCCGGCGTCCAGTATAGCAAACGGTCAGTCAGTGGCCGTCAATTCATTTGTCTGTCCGAAACAGTTTGGCTATTATACCGACAAAAGCGATTGCAGTACATACTATGTGTGCTCTTTTGGACTGTCCCTACAAAAAACATGTAGAGATGGACTACATTTTTCACTGGCCCTACAAAACTGTGACTGGCCTTCAAATGTATTGTGYGATATCGGTATGTAATCTTATAATTTATTAATTWAATTTAATATTTTTTGGTGTATTTTATTTTTAATTAAAACAATATTCTATATATAAATTAATAATTTTCAGATAAGATTATTTTTTTTTGAATTATTATTGAATTTCTTTTATATTTTAACAAATAAATAAAATAAAAAGATTTAGTGATAAAAATAGTACTTTAGTGTAATAAACAGTACATAACATACATATGTAGTTAAATATAAATTTATTTTAAATAACAAAAATTTCTAAATCCACTTACACTTTTATTTTTTAAGTAATATAAAAGTGTTATAAATATATTAAATTTAGTTTTAGTTTTAAAAAAATAAGAAAAAATAAAATTTTAAAACATATTCCTTGTTAGGTATTATACGCTTTATTAGATATTTCCCTAAAAAAATGTTTTCTTGAATTATAAGTAAAAATTCATAAACAAATTGCAATATAATTAGTTGACATACAAAATAAACTGATTGTATAACAAAATTTTTGTTAAACAATTTAATTATAAACTTAATTATACATTTTTTATGTTATGTTAGTTTGATTGATGTCAACTGTAAGTGTAATACAGTATTATGATATATTATAGTGATAWACTATATTACTGTATAATAATGTATTAGACTATTATTAAATATTTTTTGTTGTTGTACAATTTAAAAAAAAATACATTTAATGTTTAGTATTATTTAACTAAACTAGATTAAACATTATTTTAAATATAAAATGTTTATTGGATTAATAATTTTAAAAAATAATCTAAATATAATTATAGTGTACTTTCAAAAAATATATATAATTCAAAAATAATTTGTAATTGTTATGAAAATATTAAGATATAATTAGTAGGGATGTCACTCACACTCCCAGTTTATGTAATAGTGATGATGAGTTGAAGGACAGTTAGATTAACATACATGTGCTTAAATAAAAATATTTATTATRATAGAGGAAACTATGTTAATATAAATATAATTTAATATAASGATTTGATGAAATAAATAAAAGAGTTAATTTAAATTATAAAACACTTATATGTTTTGACTGATAATTTTATTGATAAATAATTTTATTATTATTGTGTTTATGATGTTTGTGGATTTAATTTTTTTAAAAATAATGATTGTAATAGTTTTATTAAGTTTAATAGTTATATAAATATTATAAATAGTTACTATAATTAACAATATTTAGACTAATATATTTATTTATTTTGTGAGACCTTTCCCATTTAATTAGTTATATATATTTTGTTTTTATAAAAAATTAAATAAAAATAATAATAATTAGTTAACATAAAATCATTGTCAATTAATTTATTAATTAGATTTTTATAAGTCAGAAAAAATATTATAATAAAATTTTTTATTTTATATAATAATTGTTGCGATTCTATTATTTTAAGGTCATAGTCACATCAAAAAATAAATATTAATTAGTTTAAAAATAATACTAAATGCAATTAATTTTAGTAATTTTTATGTTTTACTTTTAATTTTTTTTGTCAAACAATTAACATTGACTGAGTTTTTTTTTGTTTTTTTGCTACTGTGATGAGTCCCAATTGAAACTGTAATTATTATAAATATATATATATATTTTTAATTTTAATGATACATATATTATTTAATAACATTTCTGACAASTATTCATTAACAAGTTTTGCACAATTTATAATTTTATTTAAAAACAAAAATTGTTAAAATAAAACAAAAGTAGATTTTCATTTGCTATATAAAGATGACATAATATTTAATATATTGTATATAATAGTTATAAAAAAATATTAGCACAAAAAACACACACAGACACACATATATAGTGTATATATATATATAAATTTATATACAGTATATATACAATGACATACTGACCATAAATTTCTTATATTTCATTTGACACATCACTTAACATCACGATTATTATTATATAATATTTTTTTTATTTATTGTTTTTTTATTGTAATGACAAAACTTGTTGTTATAATAATATCAGTCACATAGTAATCATCAAAAAATAGACAATTCATGTGACAGTTGTGTTAATTGTCTCACAAATTGAGGGACACATGAAAAAAAATTGAGTTTTATTTTTAATATCAAATTTAATATTTAATTATTACTTTTTACTCATCATTGTAAAGGTTATATCAATTTTTTGTGTTCAACAAAATTAATGTTATAATTGTATTATAKTTATTAAYATCAATTTACAGTATTATGTTTAATAATCTATAATATAAAACATTGATTGAGGTTATTTTATTATCTATAGTTTAATAAATGTTGAAACAATTTTTGTGTTTAAAAATATAATTTTTAAGTTAATTATAAAAAAGCGAAATAAAATATTTTTAAAAGTTTTTTTAAAAATCTAAMATTAATTACATGACTTATGTTTYAATATTATAACCGAAAAAGTAATTCAAAAATAAACTAAAATTTTAATAGTAAAATCAATCATAATTTTTTTATCAGTTATATACCTGTATTATAATATATCAATATATTATAATTCTTTGTTAATAAAGATAAGATTATTAAATAATATACTGTATTTATAAATTTATTTATAAATAAATAAATTTAAAAAAATAATTATTATTTTTATCAATATATTTATAATATTTTACTGTATTATTAATTTAAATATACTACAATATAAATTATTATAAATTATTTTGAGTTATTATTATTATTATTATTATGGGCCGAAAATATTTTTAACAGGTTTAACAGTTAAAGCAATTAATTATAATATATTTATAATACTCTCTTAAATAAAATAAAATTGCGGTATTTTTAGCACAAAATGAAAATCAAACATATATTTTGCATATGAATGCTCTGTGAATAACCTTGTATTAGAAAAAATAGAAATAATTTTTATTAACAATGATTTACTTGAAAAAAATCTAGAAATTTATATAATTATTAGTTTTAAGTGTATCAGTAAAATCTGGGCAAAACTTTTCTGTTAAATAATTATATTATTAATACTAATAAAATAATATATATATTTATTTTTTTCAATTTCTTATCAAGGTTCTTCAAGGTTGTCTAGTGTAACAAATTTTATCTTAAATTATTAATATATATTAATATTACTGAAAACAAATTATTATTTTACTATCAATTGAATTTGTAATTGAAATATCGTTTTTTTGTTATGCATATTAAATATCTATTAAAATAAAAAAAGATTAATCGATTAGTATTTCTTTGATATTTTCCTTAATAATTATACTGTTTTTTTGTATTTTTTAAATATTTTGTTTTTAGATTTATAATAAAGGAAAATTTGTATCAGATTAGCAAAATTTATTACTCAAATTGTTAAAATGCATATTAAAATTGTCAATTTATTTAGATTTAAATAATAAAAATATAATRTTTTAATCTCTTTTCATATTAATTAATATTTTAATATCTAAACAATAGAATTAATAAAATAAAATAAATTAAATATTTATGATTTTTTTGAWTTAATTGATATTAGAGCCCAAATCACGTCCCAATAGTTCGGGTTTCAGTGTAGTCAATGCTAAGGACGATAAAGAAAGACAACTGTCCAAACCGGCCGCTAGTAYTGCTAGGCGTGTCATTGATGGTAATCCAGTGATATCGGACACCGTGTCTAACATTTATACTAACAATAATAATTATAACAATAATAATTATAACAATAATGGGAACACCAGGCATTTAACAATTCCAAGGCCTAACCAACGGCTGCCGGCTATACATATCGATACATACACACCGGTAGCTACAGAAAGTCCCGTTCCGCCAGTCGACGTCACACCGATATATAGTACTAATGCAGCCGATTATACGTTAGGCGTTCCCGACCCTCAGGCCACCGGTTCAAAGCCGTCATACTATAACATTGAAAATTTCAATAACACTGATACCCGTAATAATTATAATTTAGACCAAATCTATAGACCTCCACTGTCAACAGTGGCACCGGCCTATCGGGTCGATGGCTTTGAGTTAGCGTCGACACCCCTGCCTTCCAACGGTGCTAACAATGCCGATACTGTTGAGGTTAGACAAACATTTGCACCGCCAACACAATTGGTCTCATCCATAGTCAGCGGTCGACGATATGGTGGCGGAGATGCCGTACCCTATGATACAGTTGTTAATCCGCCGGCAGCCATATCGGGACGTATGGATACTAATCATAATTATTATCATTACGACGGTGTAGATAATAGCGGAAAAGGAGATACCAGTGCTGAACATAATTATGAATTGCCACCAATTGTTAAGCCATTAACAAATAGTGGTAATAATAATAATAATAATAATAATAACAATAGAAATGCATATATAAATAGTAGAATAGTTAGCAATATAAATAATAATAATTATAATAATAACAACAATAACCGGAACATTGCATATTATAATAGAGGTGCTAATAATAGCAGTAATAATGGATATTTTACGGGAACTACTAATAAATATCTCGTAAATCCGACACAATTTTACCACCAAATATATGCCAGAGGTTTGTTAACAATATTTTAATGAAAATATTTTGATATATTAATTGTTTACTAAAACACTATTTGTAATAATTAAATAATTAAAAAATTAAAAAATTATAATCAATTAAAAATAGTGTTAATAAACTTTAATAACTARTATATAAATAAAATTAATTATAAAGTATAGCATTTATTTTATTAGTTTTATGAGTTATAATGTTAAATACTGTACAAAAAATTATATATCTGTATATTAAAATAATGGCTAAATATAATTGTTAAACTGAAATAATTATTGAAATTTAAAACAATTTTTTTTGTGGTGATTATCAGGACCTTCTACTACTACCACAACAACTTCTACTACAACTACTACTACGTCCACCACTACTAGTACTACAACACCGGCGCCTCCATCACTGCCCTCTCCGAGAGTGGATGTCGAGAGTCAGTCGTATCCATCGATATCGCGGCCAACCTATCACTATCCCATCATTCAGAATACATACAAAAATATCAATCCAATCGCCAATAATAATACCGGTGCCGATGATGTATACGTATTTGTTAAGCCACTCAAAGATGACGAAAAACTTATTGAACGACTCACTAGACTTCGCGCAACTCAGCAAACACCCCGACCGATGGTCTCCATTAACCCGTACAGTGCAGTACCCGTACGGGCCGTCTCGCCGGTCGTTCGTGTCATCCGAAAACAGCGACCAAAATCATCGCCACAAGAGTTGGTAAAGTTTGATATAGTAACGAGCGATCCGATGATCACAAGCAGTACCACTGAGATACCGGTCAGACAGTTAATGCCAAGACAAAGGACAGCCAAAGAAGAGTATATAAGAGCACAGAATCGGGCGCCGCGTGTCTTAGAAAAGGAACAGCCAGTGGTGGTCAACAATCAGCTAAACTTTTACAATACTAGCAATAAGTTCAATATAAACGCCGACGAAAGCGTAGTCGACAATAATAAATACAAAAACCGACAGCTCATACCTGAGAACCCGTATAATGTGCCCGAAATTAAACCTAAATTACAGGGAAGGCCTGATTTCAGACAAGTGTTTCGCGAGACGGAAGTTGCGCCCAGAGGTGGACAACAAGAGACTCCAGTACTGCGTCAAGTAGACAATAGACCGGATCCTAGAGATGAATATATAACTGAACTTCGCGTCGATAGTAAACCTTTAACTAGAGGTCAGAATCAACAGAATAGAAATCAACCAAAACCTGTGGATAATTATAAACCAGAAGTCATACCGCCGTATGAGTTGGATATCAATGACAATCATAACAGCAAAGAGGAACAACCGATAATCATATCATTCAATGTGAACGACAAGAACCGAAACAGAGATACTGTTGTGTTTAATCCACAAGAAATGAGACAAAGAGAGCGACAATATATGGACTTTTTAGGTGTAGCCAACTCGCCAAAGATAAATCCCAATGGTATCCGAATTGTTGAGTTACCTCCGGCTACCACACCTTTGACGACCACTACTACTACAACCACAACCCGACGTCCATTTCAACGAGTCTGGGGTAGAGTTAACAATACTGCTCCTCAAATATTGCGCTTCGAGGCAGAGGATGCCATTCCCAAGCAATTGACATACCGGGAGAATAGACCCACTTTACGACCTGACCCAAGACCTAATGCCGTGCAAACACCCAATCCGTTGTCATTCCGGTCGACAAGAATTACAACAACAACAACAACAACACCTGAGACCACAACAACCGAAAGACAAAGACAACAACAACCGGTTCACGGATCACGACAATTGCCTCCAGTAAGACAACMACATCTGCAAACATTATCATTGCGAACAGTTCCGGCTAACAGTCCACGACAGAGACAAGTATCCAATCGACAACTGCAACGACTGCCTCTAATAACTACAACCGAATCGCCACAACCGTCTGAACTTCCATTACCTAACCAGAGAAGTGTCGGCTACAAACCGGTTATCACATTAGAGGACGAACCGATTTATGAAAATGAAGGAGAACTGTCGGGTCGAAGTGTGAATACCGGTGCCAACAATAATGATCTATTGAGTGATAATTTGCCAAAAATACATACAAATATCCGGACAATTAATGATATGAGAAGAAATTATTCTCAATTGAATCCAATTAACTATTATAAAGAAAATTACGATTCAATACCTCTGACCGCCAAAAACGAAATCTTCAGCCAACCGACTACAACACCCAAACCCCAGTATACCAGTGCCTATCCGAAAGCCAACAGAAACTCTTATCGACTAAATACTTACGTTCAAAAGCCAACCATACCTACGACTACCACAACAACTACTACCMCTACAACAGCGGCACCGACAACACTGCCCACTGATCCATACTATGATTATTACTATGAAGACATTACTGATAGCAAAAATAGTGTAACACTGCCGACAACACGCAAATCATATCCAACTATTCAATCGACTCACACGAGACACGGTATCCGCTATAAGATATCGACGACAACACAGAAACCCAAAATCGATTACGAATACGAATACGAGGACTACAATAGTGCTAACTATACGACTGTTCCCGAGACTACACCATATAAAACATATTTTACTACAACATCCACTACCACTACGACAACTGTGCGACCAATAATAACAAGGTTTACTATATTTATTATTATATACTAAAATAATACAATATTAATAGCAAATCTATAATATCCTAATTTATATATAATTATTAAAATCAATGATTACTTTATACAGACCTCCGTTGTATAGCGTTGGCCGTAAGCCCAGACCAACCAATCGGCGACTTGTAATCAAAGACAACGAAAAACTACCGCCAAAGCCTGCGTCTCGTCCTAAACCCATACATCCAACTCCTACTCCGTTATCAACGGCCGAAAAGTGTGACCAGAAAAAATGCAAACTACCCGACTGTCGATGCGGCGGATCAGATATACCGGGAAAGATGACCGTAAAACAGATACCGCAACTCGTTTTGATTACATTTGACGATGCKGTCAATGATCTCAATTGGGAGATCTATGATGAAATTTTTGAAGGTCGGTTCAATCCGAATGGCTGTCCAATTCGTGGCACGTTTTACGTGTCGCACGAGTGGACCGACTACGGACAGGTCCAGACACTGTGGTCGAGAGGACACGAAATTGCATCGCACGGAATCAGGTAAGTAATTAAGCAATAGTTTATCAAAATTTACTAATAATTTTCTAACAAATAATTTTTTTTCCAAAAATAATATGATTTTTGTAGTCATAGTTTTGGCGAAAAATTTACAGTCAAAGAGTGGATTAAAGAAGTGAACGGTCAGAGAGAAATCATACACCAGTTCGGAGGCGTTCCTCTTGAAGACATACGCGGTATGAGAGCACCGTTCCTACAAACCGGTGGTAATCGTATGTTTGATATGCTTTACGAAACAAACTTTACGTACGATTCCTCATTACCGGTTCACGAAAGTAATCCACCRTTTTTTCCCTATACACTGGACTATGCACTCAATCACGAGTGTATGATACCTCCCTGTCCTACCAAATCATTTCCAGGTAATTATTTATACAAAGATTTATCTATTGAAAGTTATTATTATTTTTTTCTATGTTAACAAATACTATTTGTATGATTAGGTTTATGGGAAGTCGGTATGATTATGTGGCATGAYTTGCGTGGCGGCCGATGCTCTATGGGTGACGCCTGTACTAACCCATCGGATGAACCGGGAGTTTACGATATGCTATTGAAAAATTTCAACCGACATTATAAGTCAAATCGGGCCCCGTTTAACCTATTCTATCACTCGGCCTGGTTTAATACACCGCACCATAAGAAAGCATTCCTCAAGTTTATCGATGAGGTCATCCAGAAAGAGGACGTCTACTTTGTAACCAATTGGCAGGCAATCCAATGGATCCGAAATCCCACTTCACTGGAAAGTATACACGATTTTGAGCCATTCCAATGTCCCGATAAACCAGTGGATGCCCCGTGCAATCACCCGACGGTATGCAACGTTAACTCCAAAGACGGCAGCCGTACGTTCCGTACGTGTCAGTCCTGTCCATCGACCTATCCTTGGGTCGGCAGTACTGGCTTTAAATGGTCTAAATATACATAATTTAATAATATATTTATTGATATTGTTATTATTATTATCATTATTTAAAATTTTTTTATTACTTAAAGAGTRTAATATTGAGAAACTCAGAGCTTAAAAGTAAATGATTGAATAGTTTGATTAGTTTTGTAAATATTATAAACATTTTTTTATAATATTTATAAAAATATTTAATGACATTTAGACTGGATATTAGTTATTTGATTAGATAATTGTCTCTAAAAAAATCAAATTTTGTGTTTAAACTTTGATTGTGTTAAYATATGTTTATTTATAAATAAACATATGATATATTAAGTGATAATTAATTTGAGTGATCAACAAAATTACTGTAAATAAAAYATTATTATAATCAAAATTTTATTTTATAAAATTTTGTTTAAAATACAGAATTGAAAATTAAATTATTTAATAATACAAAAAAATTATTATTCACTAAAATAATTTTTCATCAGTTTTAGGTTTAGTAAATAATTAAGTATTGTTTAATTACAATTAAGTTAAATCATTAGTTATAGATAATGTATTTATTTGTTTATAATTATTAAAATGTCTTTATAATATTAGTACACAAATAGAAATAATATWGTATTTGAACAAAAAATTTATAATCAAATAATTTTATTATATAACATATTTTTTTACATTTAAACGTGTTTTTAATTATTTGTTTATGAATATTATAAATTTAAAATTACATATTTTATTACATATTATATGCCATAATATTGATTTTATACAAACTTTTCATTTATTAAATTTTCAAAACTTTTGTTATACACTTTAATATTCATGATTGATGTTATCCATAATATGAAAGCATATGATAAAAATCATAAAAAAAATATTTTTACTCATCTCTAGTCATTGTTTTCAAAAATACAAAAAATTATGTCACAAACTTTTGTAAAATAATTTTTCATAAAATAAATTTTTTAATTTAAAYATTTTTTTTATTAATATTTTTTATATGATAATGTTACAGAAAAAGTAAATAATAATAATAATAGACAAATTTAATTATTATATATATATATATATATATATAACATAAAATATTATATAAAACAAAATTGTTTGCAAAAAACACATATTGCAAACATATTTATAAATATCAATACTATTATTACTAAATACTAATTTGCATTAATAAATACAGTATACAAATATAATATATACAATATATAATAAAGTTTAGTATTTATTATTTATATCAACATAATTTTTAAGTTTATTTATTTAACAAATATTTTTTAAAATTACATATTCGCTATATAAAGTTAATTATAAAAAAGTAAAAAATTATTTTAACATTTAATTTAAACATAATTTGTCATAACTAACTGAATACTAAAAAATTATTAATAATTATAAGTAATAAATGTTGCAAAAAATGTCATCCATTACATAATTATTAACAAATTTTTGTTATATTTTTGTTATTTTTTATTTATTTAATTAAATAACATAAACMTTAGTTAAAAAAAATTATCTTAATAATATATAAATAAATCAATATTTTATTATTAATAAATTTTTAAATTACACTATTCATTATTAATAATTATTTAATTTAGAACAACAAAAAAAAATAGATTATATAATAATAATTTTGAAATTTAATTGAAAAATCAACAATTATTATATACTATATATTTTTAGTAATTTTTTTGTAAACAATTGTATTGTTAATCGCTATCAAATTCCCTGTCTCTTGAATAAGGATTTCCACGAGAGTTATAATGTATACTCTCTTCAATTGTCCTGGATACTATTAGTCAATTATTATAGAAATAATATAAATTAATTAATCAATTAATTAATTATTATCACAATATATATATAGAGAGAGAGAAAAAAACTTAGATATAATAGATAACTAGAAAATATTGAAAAACTTAAATTATATTTAAATAATCTATTATTTTGTTAATAAWATTTTAAACAAAACTTACCAAAAGCAAGAAAAACGACAGCAATTAATACAACAAAACGATACATTGTTTTTAAAAGTTTTAATTAAAGATTTTTAAATAAAATATTTTTTTTAACTAACTGTTTAGTTTTTAATTAGAAAGTGAGTGCCAATACAGTCAAACTTAAGCTTATATATCTTAATAATTTCATAAAAAATTATATATTTTTTCTTATTTATAATTAAAATTTAATATTAATTAAGTTATTGACGCAAATTGAATTTTTAATAAAAATTGTTATATTAAAAATTTTTACAATCTTCATTATAATTATTTTAAACAAATATTTAATTTAAAAAAATACRATATATCTTATAGTTTTGTATATATATCTCACTGACCAGTCGTAAAGTTGATGATTGTATTATATATTAATTAAAAGATTAGTACATAAGATAGAAAAAGTGTTAATATAATATAAACTAATGTATATATAGTCTTAATATATGTAAAATAAAAATAATTAATAAATTACTTTTTTATATTGTACAAAAAATATTAGTTATATTTTAATTTTATATATAATATAAAATAATTAACATATTTATAAACTTGTTAATACTTTAAAGTTTAAATACAGAAAAATACATAGAAAATTAATGTAAATTCTAATATTATACAGRTTTATTAAAATGTTGATTGTGGTCAGTCTAAGCGCACATGTGATTGAAAGTATTATATTATTTTAGATTATGTAMAGTAAGTCATTGAAACATTTTGAATATAAAATTTTAGAAATTCTTATTTTATAAAAAATATGTTGTTTTTAATTATAATTATTTTCTAGTAATAATTAAAACTAATATTTTATATCCTGTAATCCATCTGTTAATTGATACAATTTTAACGCAAATAATGTTTTAAAATGAATTTTTTTATTATATCTATTAAATTATTATATAAAATCTATTTTGCAATAATTAAATTAAATATTTTAAATATAATATATTGTATATTATTTAAAACAAAACTTTTTAATTTTTTCTCTCTCTTTCTTTATAATTAAATAAATTATTGAAAATAAAATAAAGTTTTATTATTTRATATTGATTATTCAATTTAATTATTTTAATAATAAATTAATTAAATATAGAAATAATACAATAATATTTAATATATTTTTTAAAGTAATTATTTATAAATAAATCTCTGTTTATTTAATAAAATGTGAAATTTTAACAATTATGATAACTTTAAGATTTAAAAATATATATATTAAGTTATATAAGTAAGTTTTTATTGTTGTTTTTATTTACTTTAATGAAACTTATAATTGTATAATTGTGGTTTATTATATTCAATTTGATAAAATATAAAAAAATAAATGGATAAATAATATAAAAATTATAAAAATTTACAATAATTAAGTAAGCTTACAATTAGTTTTAATTTTAATAATAACAATATTGAATATAATTATACTAAAATATTATTGTGTGTTTGAAAAAAAACTTTTCATAAAACTTAAATAGAAATTTGATATATTATACAACAAAATTTATTGTAATATATTTATGCAAAAAATAAATACTGTACTATCATTTATAATTAATTAATATTTGTTTTAAAAACAATYAATTAATTTTTAGTATTAAAAAAGTATTAATAGTTTTTAGTATTTATTATTTCTATTAACATAATAGTGAATGTRATGACTGAACTTAAAAATGTGAACAAAAATTTCAAATCCATAACAAACACATTTAATGCCAGATATTTTGTATTAGCATAATATGTCATCAAATTATCTTTAATTATACTCTTAATTAATAACTCATGTGATGTCATATTAATGTATTGATTACCAAACATTGACATTAATTGTTGAACAGTTGGTCTATTTGTTTGAAAATAATCAATTGATATTAAATACAAAACATTAATAACAAAAATACTTAAATATTCAATAAAACTGAATATAAAATTTGAATTATAAATATTTTGATTATTATTTAACATTAGTGTTGTTAATCTTAAACATGTTGTCACAAAAATTTCACAAAAACTTAAAAAAGGCAATAAACCMAATGTTTTGTTGAATTCATTTTTAATTTGATTTATTTTTCTGATATTTTGATCAAAAATTAAATAATTTTGTTTTATAACACATTCACTGTATAATTGTTTTTCCATTAGATATATGCCATACATTAACTGTATTAATAGCATTGGTGTGGCTAATAGCCAACCAAACATAAAAATAGACCACAAAAACAATTTGATATTATAATAAGTATTTAATAAATCAAAAAATAATGAAATTATAACTAAATTAAATATTAATATTAAAAACCATAAACTAGTAAKTATATTAGATATATTWTTAATTAAATTTTTATTTCTAAAATGATTGTTTTTATCAATTTCATTAATAAGATTAATAATTTTTGATTTATTTATTATAAACCATAATCGACCAATTAGTACAATAAATGTTTTTATAATAACAGATATTAAAAATAGTGAATATTTAATTGTATTAATTTTATTATGACTGATACCATCAATAAAGATAGCAATTATTATGAATACATTTAGTATATTAATTAATAAACTAATTATAAATATTAAATAATTAAAATATTTAATTTTAATTGTAACTAAATTRAWWACCCATTAAAAACATTAAATAAAAAAATAAATGCATAATGTTTTTTAAGTTGATAAATATGATTACTTAAATAAAATAAATAATATAACAATTTGATAATACATTTTATAAAGTAATAAATTTGTGAACATTTGTAAAAATAAATGTGAATATGTGTTAAATAATAAATTATATTTAAAAATAAGTATAAAACAATTTTAATTTCAATAAAAAATTATTGATAATTTAAGTAGCAAACTAATAAATCTTATCTAACATTATAGAAATATTTGCCAAATAATAAATAATTTTATTGATTAACTTGTAATAACTACAAAAATAAGAAATGATAACAATATTGTCAAACAAAATAAAATTAATAAATAGTTTTAATAAATAAATATTAGTAGAAAATATTATTATTAGAGTTTAGA